AGCCCTCTGGCCGCTGGTTTCTAAGAGCACAGGAAAACGGCAGCTGGTGATGGACCTGGTGGAAATGGTTTTTTGTCGTGGAGACTGAGAGCTAACGGTACAGCACCTTTCACACCACACAGTTCAGATGGATAAAATAATTGAAGAGTATTTCAGGCGTGGGTCCGTTTTGAGTGAATTCCAATGGCTGTTTGTTATCCAGTGCGCGCTACGCTACGGTAAAGGGTGCTGCAGCTCTCTGTCTCCGCGCCAAGTAGTTATTCTTCTTCGTGTTTTGTCGCGGAGACTGAGAGCTAACGCTACAGCACCTTTCACACCACACAGTTCAGATGGATGGAATAATTGAAGATTATTTCAGGCGTGGGTCTGTTTTGAGTGAATTCCAATGGCTGTTTGTTATCCAGTGCGCGCTACGCTACGGTAAAGGGTGCTGCATCTCTCTGTCTCCGCGCCAAAAACAACTAAACAGGAAGAAGAATTTCGACTTAGCTAAGTCGGAGTAACTGGCGGGAATGGGCTTCCATATAAACCACTTGGCCAAGGTCAGGAAAAGTTTGTGGCTTAGGGCTTTTAATGAAAATATAAATGTTACAATAATTTCAGGTCTATAAAAAGGTTTCGATATTTTTATGTGAGGATCGATCCTTATCGATACAACGCCTAGAATCGATGTATCGATACTTAAGGATCGATCCGCCCACCCCTAATTGACAACCCTGGATATAAATCGTGTGGAGGAGCTCCCCAATATAAATGTAATTCTTTGATATGAGAAATGTTTAAAATCATATTGACATATGTCCCACAGTCATAGCGGGGCCAAATACAGTATTGAATATATACAGTATATATTCTGTATTGGTATAGTAACTAGTAGTGGAAGTACTCACATCATTTACTTAAGTAAAAGTAACAATACGACAGTGTAAAAATACTCTATTACAAGTAAAAGTCATGCATTCAAATTGTTACAATATTTTTCTGTAAAATGTAGTGAAGTCAAAATATGAAGTAGCAGAGAATGAAAACACTTTCTCAGATATCTTGATGTAGGCCACCATTTTATTTCTGCATATCATGGCAGGTATAAACATAATGTGGAATGACTTTCCCTTAATTTCCATTTACACCATGCTACAGTGCTAGCTTACACACAGAGCCTTAACTTCCATCAAGCAAGTGTTCCACTATGATACTAAATATCTGATGATACTTAGCGATGCTTGCTATATTTACGTACATATGAAGTTTTCTTAACGTCATAGAGTTTTAAACATTGTATCCATAGAGACAGTGGAGAGACATAAATCTGCTGTGGAGGAATGGTTTGAACAGGACTCAGGTGGCCTTCCTCCATCTCCATGAGAAAAAAAAGTTCCAGCATTTTCATGAAGCACAGTCTGCTGTTGTGGACAGATGGCACAATATCTTGTACTGTAAAGAACAGAGAATTCCAAATGGATCAGGCTTTTTATAGCCTATTAGAATTTGTTAATAATCCCTAGGTAATATTGAGTCCATCGGGCCTGATATAGAAAAACTGTATTTCAGCTCAGCACACAGTGATTGATTCTTGCTCCAAGACTGACTGGTGGTACCTTACAACTATGTACTGCAAAAAAAACAAAAACAAAACACAAAATACCTACAAGAGACATAAGAACGTTAAATACAGTTGAGATGTGTAAAGGTTTAAGAACTTGAACTTTGTCTGACGTAGGGTTCATCTGTAACCATTAGTCAATCAATTGATTAGTCAGCTGACTGTAACAACTAGTGCTGGGTATCAAATTTCAATGATTTTATGGCTTTTATGGTACTGGTTTTGAAAAATTTTAATGTGCTTTATAAATAAATTGACAACAATAATCACCTTTATTTGGCCAAGTATGTTACACACAAGGAATTTGTTTCCGGTACAGAACCAAGGCAGCCATCTGCGGCGCCAACTCAACCGACGGCTCTAACCATCGGGGGCAACTTGGGGGTTCGGTGTCTTGCCCAAGGACACTTCATTGTGTGGATTGCTGGCACCGAGATTTGAACTTTCACCCTTTTGGTTGGGAGACAACCTCTCTACCCACTGAACCACAGTTGCCCCCCCAAATTAATATTGATAAATTACAGACATGAACATTTTTAAACAATTTTTCAAGTAAAACCACATTTTCTTTGTTATCACCTATCACCTTATCACTATGGTCCTCGAGAAATTATAATAGACATTTTTATGATTTCATGACAATTTATAGGCAATTATTAATCAAATAATTAAGTAATAATTGTCAGATTTATTGATTATGAAAATTATTTTTAGTTGCAGCCCAGTGAAGACAAAGCCACTAGCCAGGAAAATGGTAATAGCCAAAACAATCCATACTAGTGCAAGTTTAGCCATAGGTCTTTGTTGCAGTGTGTTTGAGTGTGACAGCGAGGAGACTGAAACCTCTTTAAAGCAAAACTCTTTGACACCCAAAGGTGCAATGTTTCTTGAACAAAAGGGGTAGTACACTGTAAACTGAACTTGAACTTTGTCTGACGTAGGGTTTATTAACTAGTTATGTTTTGGTCAAACAACTGCCATCAGGCACTGGTTGATTCACTGCTGTCTAGCTGTTAACTACCAATATCCCATCATATTCATGGAGAAGTGAACTGCAGCCACCAGATGCTGCTTACTTTGCAGTTAGGCTCATGTACTGTCTGCTTGTTAAGGGGGATGAGGGACCTCTTGGAATGTTCATATTCCTAATTTTTGTTGTTGTTTTGTTGTGGTGGTGCATGTTTGTGTGTGTTCAGACTCTCTGAGTGAGGCGCTAAAGGCAATCAGTGTGAGTACAGAGGTGATTGAGGAGGAGCTCAAGCCTCATTTGGACATGATGCTGGCTGCTCTGCTGGAAAAGAGTAAGTCATTTCACACACACACACACACACACACACACGCGCGTGCACACACACAACAGCAACAATATCAACAACTATCTCCCATCCATCCGTTATTGATATAAGGTGAGTTTGACAGAGCAGGTCATGATGGTTTTTCTCCACTGGACCATGCTGTGCCTGCTGTCATGTGCAGACAAGTATTTATTTGTTACTAAATGTGTTTCATGTATCTGATAGAGGGACAGCTTTTGGATTCTGGAGCCTAAATGTTCTGCTTCTATTTAGACATGACAGGACTGTCAGTGCTCATGTAAACTAATTATATCAACCATGAATTTGAAAACTTTTAACAATGAATGAGTATCTCTGCCACTTTATTAGGTACACAATGCTACACCTCCGCCTTAACAGCTGTGTTTATGAAGCTCAAAATGTTTCAGTTTTTGGTGAACTTGTCATAAATATTTCAATTCAGTTGTATGTTTATTATTGAGGTCATAGTTAAAAGTGGTGTTGTACTGGATTACACTATATCTGTCTCTATATTTTTGTCCTCCCCAGTTACAGGCATGAGAGGGTTGTGGGCATGAGCAAGATAGGGGCCTATACACAGGCCTGCATGTGACCGTTATGTAAAATTGCACAGTATCTTAGCTGTTCCTAGGACTGCACTCTTCTGGACAGAGATCTCAGATGTTGTTCCTGGGATCTGTTGGAGTCACTCTCCCAGTTTGGGGGTCACAGCCCCCAATGTTCCTATTACCACGGGGACCACTTGTGCCTTCACCTTCCACATCTTTTCTAGCTCTTCTTTCAGCCCTTGGTATTTCTCGAGCTTCTCGTGTTCCTTCTTCCTGATGTTGCTATCGCTTGGGATTGCTACATCTATCACTACGGCCTTCTTCCTCTGTTTGTCCACCACTACTATGTCTGGTTGGTTGGCCATTACCAGTTGGTCAGTTTGTATCTGGAAGTCCCACAGGATCTTAGCTTGGTCATTCTCAACCATCTTTCAAAGTGTATCCCACACAGAATATTCTGTGTAAGGGTGGCAAAATCAGCCAAATGTATTGCCACATACATAAGATGACAGTGAAAGTCTGATGATGGCGGTAGAGAACAACGAGGAAGCCACCCTAACTGTCAGTGATGGAACATTTTTAAATGCCACCATTTAGAGTCGTCACAGACTGAGTAAAAATCGTCACATCAAGACTTTACTGTGTAAACTAAAAATTAACAAGCCTGACTTGTACATGCTGTGCATATCCAGCCATTGTTTTCATTCATTTTGTGTGTCCACAGAAAAAGATGCTGCTGTTGAGATTGCCGGAAGTGGGATTCTACCCATATTGGCACAGGCGTTACGGAGAAAAAGCAACTTGAGCTGCCAGGTGGCTCTGGTAGTGGCAGAGATGGCCCGTGAAGGTAGGACACTACTTCAGTTGTTACTGTATGTTCTTGAATAATCTAAAGCAAGATAAAAGGTGCATTGCTGCAGCTGCAAAATAATAATAATAAAAAACAGCATGAACCTGGAAGTTGCTTGACATCCTCCAAGATCATCATCTATGTGTCACAGAACACAGTGTAGTTATTTCGTTCTGATTGTCCATACTGTGAATCTGTTAGGCTGAATTACTGTATTCTGTACAGGACACTTACTGCATGAATGTCTTGTCCTGGAAGTGTGTGGTTGTCTCTACATGTCAGCCCTGTGATAGACTGGAGACCTGTCCAGGGTGGACCCCGCCTCTCACCCAGTGTCAGCTGGGATTGGCTTCAGCCCCCAACAACCCTGTTCAGGAAAGAGGGGTATAGATAATGGATGGATGATTTCTTCCTCACAGAAGTGGGGACATTCATATTTGGTCAAAATTAACACTTAACAGACACAAAAATAATTCAGCGCAGCCAAATATTTATTAGAAATTCTAAAGATGAATATTTGGCACTGGACTATAGAAATGAAATTTTACTTCATTTGAGAAAAAATATTGATTAATTAAGAGAGTATTTATTGGAAATGCTAGAGTTCAAGGGGTTCAGTCTTATTATTGTGTGTGTTTTAGCTGCAGTCCGGGAGCAGTGCATCGAGGCTGGTCTGGTGGAAGTGCTGCTTCCCCATCTGAACAGCAATAACCAGGAGATGCTGCTGAACACTGGCAGGGCCATCGGACGCATCTGCTTTGACAACTGTGAGTTTATGTGACAGTCAGTAGAGTTTCCTGATGAAGAAAAGTGTGCTGACGAGGCAGAGGCTGTATTCTGTTGAAGGTTCCAGAGAGTGGCAGACATGTCAGTGTTCAGCTTGACACTGTGCTATGGACCGAATACAGCTAATAATTCCCAGATCTAAATATTTGTTTTTACCACTGAATTACATTTGATGAAATTTATGCAGTTATCATTTCCACATCAGTTAGCTGATGATAATTAACAGTAAATCAATGAGCCAATGATACGAAGCAATGACCTTGAAGTAAAAAAACATTTTGTATTAAAAATCAACACCAACATAGATTTGTCGTTCTATTTTTGATCCCTTCTGCTCCCTCTCCCTGTCCTCCCACCCAGCATACCAACAGGACCAGTTAGTCCAGAGTGGCGTAATCCCCAGACTGGTGTCCATAATGAAGGAGTATCCAGAGAATGACCCGCTGGTTAATGTGTGCCTGCTGGCCCTCTGTAACCTTGCTGACATGGGTATTTATTTAGTAATTGTACTTATTATGGTAAATGATTTTATTTTTACTTGCAACTAGAATCACACAGTGTCAGTATTTTGATTTGTTCTTTGAAGCTACATGGGCTCCCTTTTTATTCTTGGTCATTTCTGTTATGTTGTGTTTACGAGCTCTCCATGTCTTGTCAAGTTTTCCCTCAGTCATATAAAACAGAAGGTTTCTTACATTTGCAAAGCCGAGTAGCTTTAGGTGCAGGCTTTATGTAATTTTCTGTGGGTGTGTGTCTATTTATTTATATATGCATTTCATTGCACATTAGTGTGTTTGGCATTTTTCTACCATGAATGAAGGGGCTTACGCTGAGGTGAGAGGAGGGGTGCAGCTGATGCTGTGTTTATACTGGCTGGGCAGTGCAGTGCAATTTTCATTCTGACCTGAAATTGTGTTTGTAAAATAAACTGCTCTGATGAGCTTTTATCACAAACACAGGAGTACTGTAATTTTCCTAATAACATCCTAGACTAGCAAGCACAAGAACAGGTAACCAAATTTTAACAGCTATGCCGGTTCATCTCATACAGGTAACCAAATTTTAACAGCTATGCCAGCTTAAAATGAACCCTTAAATCCATAACTGCTCTGTCAAAATTCACTGTGGATAATGCATTGTGAAATTATCTGAATTATGTGATCATTTAAAAAGATTATTTTCAAATAAAATAAATAAGGGCAGCACGGTGGCACAGTGGTTAGCGCCGTTGCCTCACAGCGAGAAGGTTCCGGGTTCGGGCCCCACCCGGGACCTTTCTGTGTGGAGTTTGCATGTTCTCCCCGTGCTTGCGTGGGTTCTCTCCGGGTACTCTGGCTTCCTCCCACTGACCAAAGACATGCAGCTTAGGTTGATTGGTGTCTCTAAATTGCCCATAGGAGTGCGTGCGTGTATGTGTGGTTGTTCGTCTATGTGTTAGCCCTGCGATGGATTGGCGACCTGTCCAGGGTGTACCCCGCCTTCGCCCGATTGCCGGCCGGGATTGGCTCCGGCCCCACCCGTGACCCTGTTTAGGGACTAAGTGGTAGAAAATGAATGAAAAAAATAAAATAAATAAACTAGTCCTCAGTATGTGATATGAATATTGTCAAACAGGAGTGTGGGCATCATGACCCACCACATATCCTGCAGATGTCCTGATTGATCGTGTTACAGGCATTGCTGACAGCACATAAAGTCAGTGTGACCTCAGTGTTCAGTTACAATTTCCTCAAATGATCAAGTTTCACACAGACATACCTTTGTTAGTACCACAGGGATACATGTTGTGTATTTTATGTCGGATTGATCCAACAAAAGCATCACTACAACAGGCACTTTTGATATGAGTGTAAACACACTGGTCACAATATAAATGTATTCTGTTATTTTAAAACCAATTGAAAACTGATAAAGTTACATGGAAATAAACTGTGTTATAGATAAACAGGAAATAACCAAGCACATTTCAGTGACACCCCTGAAATTTCATTTTAAGATCTCCAGAGGTTTGAGATGTCAGTCAGAGAGACCTCCCAGGACCCCTGTATGTTGCACACTGGGTGTAGCAGTTAGTACATAACACTGTACTGTATAATTGCTACTGGTTACAGGACCAGAGCCACAAAAACTGGTAAGACATATTAGCATACCACAGAGTGAATAATTATGTGCAATAAATACTTTTACAGGGAAAGAACGAGGTTCATCTCATGTAGTTCAGTGTCATGGCGTCAGTGGCATCAGTCAAAGTCAGGATTATGCTTTGAAAGGGGATGAGAGGACCTGGTTTACTACAGTTCATCCCGACTCCAGCTGCTCATAATGCATTCCTCCCACTAATAATGTATTCAGTCTCTCTTCTACGTTGCACCTGGCTGCACATAAAATGTGCTAACGCCAGTGTTCACCAGAATTTGAAGAATCGTTGAGCTCACCCATGTGTACCTTCATCTATTGTTTAGACTTGTCTTACCTCTGTGCCCTATTTCAGGAAAAGAATGAGCCAAGAATATAAACAATTAGTAAGATACTGTGGAATAATGTTGGCACACCTTGTGCCACCCATTACTGTGGCAACCCCATCACTTTATGTATTTTTTAAGTGTTTGTGTACAGTGCCAAGGGAAAGTAGCAGGAAGAAGGAAGAAACAAATACAGATCAGATTTTTAAGTGCTTCTCTGGGATAAAGCAATAAAGCTTGTCTCAAAGGAAGAAGGGAGGCCAGCACTATTATAACTTCAGAAGTCTGCTGTGTTAAATTGGGATTAGATGGCAGGTGTATAGTCACTATAATTACTTACCTCCAATATTGTCCATAGTTACTGACCCCTGTCTTTGCAGACTCGGCAAGGGGAGCCCTAGCAGAGCTGAATGTGGCAGATGTGCTGACATTTCAGCTGAAACGGGCACCTGATGCTGAACGCAGACACGTCATCCTGGAAATACTGGGCTCACTGGGTGAGAGCGGTAAGACCTGCATGGTAGTTTAGGAGGGAGGCTAGGACAGGAAAGATGTTATGGTAAAACTGTGGTTTCATTGAGCATTACTGCTTTATGTTTCATCATATCTCAACCCTTTAACCCCTCAAATTAGGATTAATAAGGTAAACATTTTTTCTAGTGTGTAAACACCAGTTAGACTCTTTTTCTATCTCTGATTGCCTTAAGCCGAGCAGACACTGCATGTCTTTTATTGTTTGTATACCATGTGTTAACTCACACTATATGTTTAAATCGGCTGCATCTGTAACTTCACTGTTCACACTGGATGTTTAACCCCAGAGTGGGTGTGTTCAGTGGCGACTCCAGTAAAGTTGAGGACAACCAGAAGAAAAACAGTGTTACCTTTAGCCATTTGACTTTGTACAGCTGGTGAACAGTGCTATCTGCTGGCAGTATTTCTCCTGTTGCTGCAGGTCATGGCACTGTTCTGATGACACATTGTACAGTGTGGTGCTGCCAGAGCTCGATTAGTCTCATCCATTTACAGTTAATAAATATATTATATTCAGTCTATGGCTTCCTTTCATTTGATTCTGTCCACAAAATGTGCTATGTCACATCTGTGCCATGTTGTTGTCTTTGTACTCATGCAAATGCACTGAACTAAGTTCGGACAGTGGATTTGCAATGCAGCCGACCAGATTTCTGACACACTACAGATCCATCCCAGCAGTCAAGAGGCCGATCGTTTGTCAATCGGGTCATAAAATGGGCATCGATACTCTGCTCACACTATGCGGATCAGGCCGAAATTCAGCCTGATTCTAGAAGCGGCACTGAATCAGGTGTAAAATCGGGCCGAATTCATTCAGTCTTTGCTTGGCTTTAGACCACTGTGGTTAACATTATAAATCAATGGGCAGGCCTGCTTCACACAAGTTTTCTTATTTAATGACCTAAGTGCAGCTTTTTTTTTTAATGAGATCAGTTATTTATCACATTTGGAAAGGAGATACATAAGGTACACATTGCAGTAGTAGCCCCACCCCGCAGTACTGTCAGGGTGGTGTAGGATAATCAAAATGTGTAAACACATTACTCACATCAGCTTCCTCTGGCAAAAACTACCAACTTGATTTAGAAATTTGGAGTAAAATGTGAGTGATTCACTGATATAATGTCAGATTTTCCAACATGAAACAATATTCAGTACCATATACTGTACTACCTTAAAGTCTAAACCTTTCTTTTTGACTTTTGTTTGTTCAAAATGTTTTATAGTTATTTAAAGACAATGTCAGCTGTTAATCATTTTAACAAAAGAGACAATAGCAAAGCTTACCTGATTGTGCTGCATCATCAGATACTCTGAAGCTGCAGTTTGCAGAGACTGGCGTACCTGAGGCTTTATCAGAGATGATTCGGGATCTTCAGGGAGGTTCTGACCCCCATGACCTCTGCAGCATCAAGATCGCCTCCAACCTCATAGTGTCCCTACTTTTAGGAGGTGAGCAATGCAGCTGCATTCATGTGGGACATCTCTGAAAGTGTTTATGTATACACCAACAACTCTGTTGTCTCAGAGTAGTTATTCAAGTCATCTTTTTACCTTGTATGTATGTGTTTGCGTGCCAGATGAGTCTATGCAGAAGTGTTTTGGTGAAGGATCAGGTCTGGTGTATCAGGATGTTCTGTCCTGGCTGCAGAGCTCCAACACCCAGCTGCAGCTGTCTGGAGCCCTGGCTATCGCCAACTTTGCTAGGAATGGTGAGATATTCAACAGAAATTTTAGAATAGTGTAAAGAAATCTCTGTGACAACACACATGAGTTCCTCAAGGGACATTTCTCACCATCTGTACCATCTATGTAGGTAAAGTTGATGTTGGATAAGAAATCAACATGATACAAAACAACACAAATATACAGTATGTGTAATGTGAGAGGTGTCACTTTTAGCAACAAACCCACAGAGAATGATCACCAACTCTACAGTTCAGCTCTACAGAACTACATTGGATCCTTTCAGCTCACTTTGTTGTTGTTGTTGTTGTTGCTTTTGGTCCACGGCTTTACTGTTTTGATTTGTTCTTGCAGCTCTCATGCCATTGTTTTGAGCCCAAGCAGGAAGAAGCTGATTTCAGAGAAAAACTCCAAAAAGCCACTCACACACTACCCGCTCAACAACAAACAGCAGAATGACACTGATGGTGCTGATAGCTAGTGAACATAATGTCACTCTGTGCACTGAATGTGTAAACAGTCAACAGTCTGATAACAAGTTCCCCATATGAACCTAACAGGTGATGTGTCAGTGTTGTGTTTTCAGCATGTTTCCCCCCATGTGGCAATAAAGTTGTTCATATAATCTTAGCAGAATGATCTTCAGAGTTAAAATACAATTCAACAGTTTGCATGCAGATATAGTATCACTTTATTAATCGAATAGTTAAACTGAGTTTGTGTGACTTATGGGACTACCAAAATGTCCTCCAATCCAAATATTTGTTGGTTCTTCCTACCTTAGATTTCAACCCATATGATCTTTCCAGTGGTACACTTATCAGTGCTTTGCTGTTGTGGTAACAACTCTCCATAGGACTGTTCTGCTTGCTCTGTTCAGTTTACACACCAAACTACTGGGTTAAGATTGTGGATTGGGTTACAGCTTCATTGGCATGATTACAATAATAAGCATGCAGTTATAGTGGAGGAATGGTCATGACTAAAAACACAGCATTTCACACCTCCATCCTGTGTGAAACTCTTCGAAGTGGTATGTTACACAGTAATCAGGTTTTGAAGGTACCCATCAGCTTCCTGTGTTTCTTTCAGACAGTAACTGTGTGAAGATGCTGGACCTCGGGGTGGTTCCTTACATTCTGACCTTGATGGAACAGCATGTTGATGAAGGAGACGTGTCTGTTCAACACGCTGGACTGAGTGCATTGAGAAACCTGGCTATTCCAGGTAATAATAAAGCCAAAATGGGTCCAGTGACCTAACATCAAAGCTCTTCCTTATAAATGAAAGCCTTGTGTGGGTTCTACGAGGTAATACCAGAAAAATATAATGGGCTCTAGTTTCCTGCCAGCACAAAACAGCTGTAGCTTCAAATGCAGTTGATTGGTTTATGTGTCTTTTTTCACATTGTTGTGTTTGGTATTTTCCTGCCATGAATGAATGTGCTTATGCTAAGGTGGGAACAGAGGTGCAGCTGAGGTCATGTGTATGCTGATTAGGTAGCACGCTGTATTTTCTGTGTTCATTTTGACCCCAAATTGCATTTGGGATAACACCTGCTCAGACTGCAATTTATCACAAATGTAGGTGCATGGTAATTTTCCTAATAACAGTCTAAGCTAGAAAGCATGAGAGATGTACCCAGATGTATTTTAATGGCCACACCAACTTAAAATGAACCTTTAAATCCACAACTGATCTGCTGGAATTAACTTTGAATAATTTATTGTGAAATTATCAGAATTATGAAATATAACTGATAATTTTGAAAGATTATTTAAAAATAAAATGTATAAACTAGTGCTTAGTATGTGACTATGGATATAAATATGTCATGACATATCATCTGTCTTTACAGGATTCAGCCATAGTCCAAATTACGCTGTACATTTTGTAGGGTCTCCTTTCAACAGGGTGCAGGGGAGAGAGGCTAGTGATCTGATGAGGTCATCTGCGTGCACCCACCCCCTTCTACCCCCCTACCTATCAGCAGTTACAATTTCCTCAAATGATCAAGTTTCACAAAGACATACATTTGTGCTACACAGTAATACACAGTGTGCATATTTTTGTATTTTATGCAATGGTTAGTACTGTAAGGCTGACCTCTCTGTGTGCAGTCTGCATGTCCTCCATGTGCGTGCGTGGGTTCTCTCTGCGTACTCTGGCTTCCTCCCACAGTCCAAAGACATGTAGGCTGACTGGCGACTCTAAATCGATCCTGACTAAAGCAGCTGTAGGTATAGATAAAGCAGGAGCCTTTCTTTCTACTATGCACAAAAGCTGTTCAGTGGTATTAGCAGACTGCTGAATGAACATCCCCTCATACATGTCATGACATCAGTGAAAGTAAAGTGGATGAGAGGAGCAGGTGTGATTGTCCATAAGGACTGCCTCAGCCCCAGCTGCTCACAATGCAGTTCCTACCACTAATAAGCCTCTCTTCCATCTTGCACCTGGCTATGACCAATATGCACCAATGGCAGTTGTCACTAAAATTACAAAGATTGTTAGACACAACCAGATGTGCCCTCAGCTGGAGTTTAGACTCGTGTTTGCCTCTGTGTCTTATTTCAGGAAAATAGAGCCAGTTACATGGATCAGTCGGAAAAAATCAACAAAACTCTTAACATGCTAGTAAAGGCTTTAAACAGCACTATTAAATATTTTCTATCATTTATATTTAAATTGACACATAACACATGATCCTGAATGTGTTACGTGTACATGCAAACACACGCCAAGTGTGTGTTAAGTGCACCAATATGACATTTGTGTCTTCCAGCCACCAACAAAGTGCGGATGCTGGAGGACGGAGTGACTGAGAGGATAAAGACCCTGCTGCGCTCTGACATGCCCCCAGTTCAGTTCAAACTGCTGGGTACACTACGTATGATGGTGGATGGACAAGGTAAGCATTACTGTTATCTTACAAACTGCATTAAAATAATTATATTCAGCACTCCACATTCTTTATATAGTCACAGATAGAATTCCAGTTGTGCCACTTAGCACTATAATCAGGTCAGATTCTCCATTTGGCCACAACAAATATTTAAAGGGAAGATTACCGTGACTGTCATTCTTCCCAGAGGATGGACCCCAGTGCCATCATTCCACTGCCACTGGGAACCGTCTCATTCTCAGGCCAGCTGGCTGGCTACTGTCCTGGGCTGTCTGGCCCCAGTAGACTACACATTTATGTTTTAGAAGGTCTTGGTGTACACACACACACACTTGGCCCCAGTAGACTACACATTTATGTTTTCATTGCACAGTGTGAGTGTTGCTCTTGCAGAATACATCATGGTACCATCTTCTGTATGACCAGAACCAACATACAGCCATGCAACAGAGCAAACATGGATTTGACAAACTGTGTTGTATTGACTTCCTTTCAGAATCAGAATAATCTTTAAGTGTGTTTGAACATAGAAAGAATTTGGCTCCATACCAAAGGCTCAGTGTGTTTGTAAGGCAACAGGAAATTGAAAATAAAAAATATGTGTTTGCCTTCTGCCTTCTGGCAGGAGGTACAGGAGCACAAGAATGAACCGATTAAGGAACAGTTTCTACCCATGGGTGATCAGACTTTTGAATTCTTGAAATGAGACAACACAATACATAAATATTGCTTTAACAGTGTGAATGTGTGGCCAGAGAAATAGTGTGAACTCTTCTTTTAATTCAGCTCCTCAATACTTTTATATTTACTTATTCTTCTTTTTATTCACTTGTTCAGTGCACTGTGGGGAGATGTGCCACCAATTTCATTGTGCAATTAACATGTACAATAACAATAAAGGCTTTTTTTCTTTCTTTCTCTTTCTTTTTGTCCCTGGTGGGACAACTGGTGTGCTGTCTGTATTTGGGCAGTTTGTGGGTGAGGTTTGTTCTGTTAAAGTCCCCTAGAACAATGAGTCAGGAGTTGGAATGTTTCAATTACAATTATCTAGTCAGCTAGGAGCTGCAATGCATCGTTAGTAGAAGCCTGGAATGTAAATACAGACCCAGATAAACAAGGAGAACTCTTTCAGAAAATTAAATGGTTTGCAGTTGATTTTTGATCTTTACACCAACCTTCATTTATATACAGTAAAAACGCTCTGTGGATCTGATACCCTGGAAACGGAATAGCCCTGCCTGGGATTGAGTCATTTAGCTTCATCTTGACAAAGCACAAAGCAGCAGAATTAGGTCCAAATTAGTCCAGTTGACAAGAAGTGGCCTGTCCATTTTGTTGGCTAAAAAGTGGACATTTGCTTGAGACATAGGGGACAACAGTGTTCAGCAACCCCGCATATGTAACTTGACCAGGGCACCCCCACATTTCCCGCTACAGATGCAGCTTCTCCAGGTCCCAAAGATGACTGCTGCTCCACTGACTAAAATGTCCAAACAACTTTTCCTGTCTGTACAAACAGGAAAAAAGGTGTTCAAGAGCTCACCTGTGGCAAATGTAATCTGAGATGGGTTGCAGAAAACCAACAAAAAAGACAAAAACAGCAAAATCACACAAGAGCACATGACCTAGGCTGCCATCCATGGTGCCATCTTGGCATTAATTTATTTACACTAATTTACTCCTTCTTCTTTCTTTCTGTTTTTAAATAGGGCAAGTCTCTTTCTTTAGCTGAGGCACTTCCTGTTTTTCAAGTTTTTTTCTCTGCCAATCAGAATGTAGAGATGTAGATGGCCAAATTTGGGGAACAGTAGCCCACTCTGGAACCAGATAGCACACTTTTTGGCATGTTTTCAGCTTGGGTATGAGCCATTTCTCACACAATGAAAACACACAAACCCCAGTACGGTATGGGTACAGTATGGTTCCTGGTGGCAGTGGAATGATATTGATAGATAGCCCATCTCTCTCCTTACTTTAGCATCATCTTCGGGCCACAATGTCAACTTGACCACCTGATGCCTAAGAGGCAGATTGCCATGATAATGAAAAAAGAAATTAACAACACACAAACATTGAATCAACAGCGATCACTAAGACATTTCTACAAATAATAGTAACAAAAAGAAGGGCAAGGGTGTATGTTCAGAAGAACCAGTACAGTATATATCAGCTTGCTTTCAGTTTTGATGGGAGCTGTGGGTAACTTCTGTAATTGTCTGAGAATATGAAAGAAGAGAAGACAGAGAAAACAGGAGAAAGAAGATGAAACAGATTTGTAAGTAGCCACAGGTTCACTGTGCTGCCCTGATGGGGCAGAAGAGCTCAGGGGGTCTGAACATCATTACTATCATCTTCCTTTCTTTACTCCACATACAGTATATTCTCTCATTTTGACTTATCTCATTTTAAGTAATTTAATATTATTCCTTTGCTTAAAAGGACTTGGCCACACCCAAGGCTTTTGAAGAGGGCTGGCCATTTGTGACACCGTCTGTCCCACACTGAACAATCGTGGGTTGAAAGCCTCAGTATTACCTTAACTTTTTTTTTTTTTTACCCATTTCCTTGGCTTCATTTACCTTCTCTCTTGTTCCCTGTAATGCCAAGGTTGTTATTTGTGTAATTCATTTTGTGTGTAAAATGTCAGATAATAGTGGAAAATGTCCATCACACATTCTCAGCAGCCAGGGTGATACCTTCAAATGTCTGTTTTTTTGTCCTGGCCAAACAGTTTACATGCTAGCAGGGGGATAAATGAATTTGTTTAATACCCTCTAGCCATCCTCTGCTATGGTCATCAGAAATGGGCAATGTTCAGAATCAAGTTAATTCCATTTCCTATTTATATTGTTGGTGTAACGTGTGGTATGTTGGAGCTTCAAGGGGCTGTTTGTTTGATTTTAGTCTTTAAGTGTCTTGTCTTTTCTTTTGTCCCAGTACATTTCAGTGGTAACTGCATTAGTTTGCTGTTGAGTTTGTTTACCTCTGTTAACATTTGCAAAACTATTTTTCCTTGTTTCTGCTATGCTGCACACGTTAGAGGAGGCAGCCTTGGTGCTGGGGAGAGATGCCATGCTGCTGACTCGGGTCATGGAATGGTGTGAAGCCATAGACCATGCAGGAGTTCAAGGAGAAGCCAGTCGCCTCTTGGCTGCCCTCATCAGACACAGCCGCAGCCCTGTGAGTCTGTTTATTCTGTTAAGTCAGCACAAGTGTCAGCTAAAACTAACTTTTTTTTTTTGGTAATCACACCTATTTGTTGGAGCCTAACATAATAACAGTATATGTACTATATATGGCACATAAACAGTGACAATCTGTAATGTGCTGATTCTATTTGTGACAGGAAGTTGTCCGTGCTGTAGCCCAAGCAGATGGTGTTCGGCACCTTATTTCTATGGCAACAAGTGAACATGTCATCATGCAGAACGAGGCCCTGGTTGCCCTGGCGATAGCATCTGCAATTGACATTGGTAAAGCAATTTCAGAAACTATTGTATGTAAAGTCAGAAACTCCGGACCTGTATTTATCAGGCATATCAGATTCTCCGCTAGAACGTTTGCTGGAATTAAGTGCAAACTCTGCTCTCTGCACATGTCTTTCATGGCATTTCTATTTGTGAACATGTCGCTACAGCGTATGTGCAAAATAACCACATAATGCTTTGTTTTAAACTGATATTGCTAACAATGGCTAACAGTGGCTAACCTGGTTCAACTGGTGTTATGGTTAACTGAAACTGGAATACAGTTGACTTGGGTGTGTTGTCATTCTGAGCTCTGGCTTCTGAGTCCTGAAGTAAATGGAATGAACCATTAAACATCTAAATCCTAAAGGAAAAGAATGTTGTCTCGTCAGTGTCAGTTGTTGGCCACTTCAAAACAGTTTTACCACCTGAATTTCTGATAACGATGTGTTCTTGTTTGTTATTAGCACTTACTAATGCAGCAGTAGCTGTTATTTAGCCCTATTTTGTTTTTACTTAGACTTCACCATCTCTGTTTTCCTGTTTAGCCACTGGGGTTGTAAATCATTGGATGGTTAAATAGTTGTGCTGAATAATTGTGTAACAAAATAATATTTTGTCACAGAAAAACATGGATGGATCTTTGTTGGATGCGGCATTGGCCAGCAGTTTCTCTCTGCAACAGATAGACAAATTTAGTGAAATACAGGGCTAATTTCATTGAAATGATATGGTGTATATGATGCATAAGCCTGTCTCTTCTCTCAGGTGGATACAATATCAGCACAAATTAACGTTCCAATTTCTTTTTGTGTTAAACTTGGTGATGATCCTCTGTGGTGTTTTCAGTTGTGGTTGTTGGCTCATACTGCTCAGTGACACAGTCTTTGGCTGTGGGGTTCCTCTGTTGCATGTACTCTGTGTGCGTTGTTAATTAGTTGAGGTTTTATGTAACTTCACATACCTTGCACAGTACATCACCTATAACTAACAGTTTAAACAATACACTTCATAAGAACCAGCAGATGTTGATGTATGTTTTAGCCAAAAACATGAGCTACACATGAGCTACACACATGAGCTGCTGCGTGTGGACATCAACACCACAATCGGATACCACATGAGCTACACACATGAGCTGCTGCATGTGGACATCAACACCACAATCGCAGGATACCAGATAGCACTGGTAAACAGGTACATTACCCACTGGGCTGTATGACCCATTATTGTAATGGATGAAGCAGAAGCACCAGCCTACACAAAACAAAGAAAGCAAAGTTTTTGCTTATATAGCATCAAAAGAACACAAAAGAGAATGCAAAGGCCTTTTAGAGTTGCTCTGGAGATGCACCTGCAGCTAGAAATGACATTATGACACAGAAGTGCAGCTAGATGCAATGTGCTACACTCAGGGCTAACCATTTCAAACTACTACTAACTAGTCTGATATAGCTGTTGGATAGTTGATGACAAATCTGAAATGCATTTATATGTGCATTTACCTGTATGTTTGTGTGTGTCTGTGGGTGTGTGTGAACACTGCAGAGTCTATGAAGGATCCGTTTAGAGAGGCGGAGCTGTTGCCCATGCTGAAGAAGATGTTGGAGGATCCTGTAGGTGCTGTTGAAGTCAAGTTCAGTGCCTTAGGTGTCATCTGCAGCCTGGCTAACTCCAGTATGTGTTCAGTTTTACAACACATTCCAATCTATTGATTTAAGATTTAGAAGAGCATGTCAGGGGCCCAAAAACTAATGTAATATATTTTTAATATTTATTTTGAATACTCACTTGTATACCTTATATGAAACTGATTAAGCTGCAGAGTTTTTGGCAGCTTAATTTCAAGTTCTTGTTCAAGGTGAAGGGTAAAAGTTCTGGCGACCTGAGATCAAACAAGGAGGCTTTAAGGTTTGTCATTGTTTAAAAACTATATAATACAGTGGGTACAGAAAGTATTCAGACCCCCTTAAATTTTCCCCTCTTTGTTATATTGCAGCCATATGCTAAAATCATTTAAGTTCATTTTTTTCCTCATTAATGTACACA